TTGTTAACTCACTTGTTCTTGTAGTCCTCTACTGTATCCTGCATGCTCCTCAGCTCTGAGTCCAGGCGGCCCCTGTCCCCAATGATGCTGTCCAGCTGCCTCCTGAGGTTGCTGATGTACTGCTCAAACAATGGCTCCAGGTTCTGCCTCACAGTCTTGGTGCCCTGCTCCTGCAGCAGGGTCCACTTGGTGTCCAGGACCTTGTTCTGTTGCTCCAGGAACCTCACCTGGAGGGGCAGAGTGTGAGAAGAAAGTGAGTTTCATTCTTCAGTGACCCCTTCATTAGTGTGACCCTCCTCTCTGGTTGTCTGCCTAGACCCCTTAAGTGTAGTCCCTGTCCCTGGGTCTACAGGGCCAACCAGAGTGAAGCTCCCAACATCATCCCTGTAAGTAAGGCAGAGCTCTCAGGCAGGGCACAGGCAGCCTAGCAGTGCTCGCTGGAGTATGGTTCAGTCAGTGTGACTGGGATGCTCCCAAACTGGCCTACAGAGACTTCTGCCTTGTACAATCCTCTGTGATGGGAGGCCAGAGCTAAATCAGCCCACTGGAGTCAGACACCCTTATGGGGCAACCTCTGGAGGAGAGGAACTCTGACCCTGATTGACAGCTGCCAGCCTAACTAAAGAGGAGCACCAAGCCAGGACAGAGTCAACCAGAAAGAATGGCCATGCTTGAGCAAAGCCTAAAGACTCTTCCTCCACCTCTGCCTTTGGCATCTACTCGAGTCTACTCCTGTGTAGGCTGCTCTAGAAAGAACACATCTCACCTTGTCGATGAAGGAGGCAAACTTGTTGTTGAGGGTCTTGATCTGCTCACGCTCCTCAGTCCTCACCCTCTGGATGGTGGGGTCGATTTGCAGGTTCAGAGGGGTGAGGAGGCTCTGGTTGATGGTGACCTCTTGGATACCGCCAGGGGGACACACAGGGAATCCAGCTCCCCCATAGCCACCACCAAATCCAGCTCCACCACCAAATCCAAAGCCACTGCCGACTCCTCCTCCAAAACCAAAGCCTCCTCCAATTCGGCTACCATAGCCTCCCCCAACGCCACAGCTGCCTCCTCCGATGGAGATCCTCTTGGAGCTCCCCACACCATAGAGGCTCCTGCTGCCAAAGCCAGCTCCTCCACACATGGCCCCAGAGCCACCACTGCCTCGGGAGCGGCACACAGACACACTGCTGAAACCAGAGCGGTTGAACCCAGGGACTCTGGCTGAGCCGGCACTGAAGCCTCGGTGGCTGGTTTGACTCCTGATGGTGGATTTGGTAGACATGGTTCCTGGAGATGAGAAGTCTGTGAAGTGGAGAGACTGCAGGGAAGAGCTGAGCAGATGAGCGTGATAGGCTCTGGGCAGCTGCTTATATATAGTGTAGATGGGCTGGGCTTGGTCCTGAAGGTGAGCTTGCAGAGTGGGAAGGGCAGGGCTTTACAAATAATGAGATCACCCCCAAGTTCTAGTAAGGTATGATACATGAAGATTGCTTTTGGCTTCCTTTAGTCATGGAGCAAATTCTCCTGCCTTCCAGCCTTGACTTGATCTGAACACAATGAGCCTGGACGTAAATCTCTGAAGTCATGAGTTAGTCATCATCTCAAACAAAAGAGACAAGGAGCTGATCTGTGATAATTGTCCCTTCATTCTGCTTATTTAGACACTCCCTGTGTGCCCCCTCACCACACAGGTTTTCCTCTCCTCCTTCACCTCCCTCCCCAGCTCAGTCAGACTCTCCCTGAAGTCGTAAAGGCATTTACCCAACATCCCAATCTAGAAATTGCCAGCTACATGGAACTAATTCTTCTGTAGATCCTGGCTGCTCTTGCTGATGGTCTGGGATGACCAGGAGAGTCTCTTTGCCCATATAACCCTCCTCTCATAGGCCAGTGAGTAGAGAGGTTGATTCTTTCCACTATAAGACTAACATTGACTGTGTGCTGCATATTAACCTCCACTTGATTTCTCCCTGAGGACAGGCAGATCCACCTGACTTCTGTGGTGCTGCATCCACCTGGCACCTCCCTTCCACTGTTTGCTCTCACATCAGTCTCATTCTTGAGTAAAACAGTCTTTCCACATTCACAGACATCGTCGTCGTCTACACTGTGTTGGGATGTTTTCTTCGAGCTTAAACTAAAGGTCCCCAAATGAAAAGGACCACCACAGTCTCTCAGGCATTCTCAGAATTTTTCTAACCATCGATTTGGACATTTTCTAAGAATGAGAAATCAGTAATGTTAGTAGGATGTGGACAAAAAGATGAGGGGACACAGAGAAGCAACAAATCTCCGAAACGTGCCCTTACAAGTGTGGCGATTTCACAAGTCCATTCCCAACTTATTTTTCTAGTCTCATTTCCTGAAAAAGTCAAATTTCAAAGGAGAGCTGTGTTTGCTTTCCAGGGGAATGAGGTTCACTCTTTCCAGTCCACACATGAGGAACCACGCATGAGGAAAAGAGAACAATTCCAGCTGTGTTGTCTCTGAGAACGTGTAGCTAAAGAAG